ATTCGAACATGGTTGACGAATCAGATAACCATGTTACAACATTAACATATGATTTTCCTCCTTCTTTGTCCGTCCCTACAGAGAATGACAACTATATTGAAGGAAACAAAAACAGTTGGTTTGGGAATGAATTGGGGGGAATCATTTCATTTCGATTTGGCTGTGAAGATTGGGGAAATATAGAAATGGATAGACATGGAAAAGATAAAGAGCGATTCTTCCTACCTTAAGAGATTACACTTTTGATCTTGCTTTTGGATTTCTTAAATCCTGCCCCAATTCATATGTTCAATTTTCATTTAGCTGAGTGCCTTTTTTGGTATTCTTGATAATCTTTGTTCAAAATTGGAATAATTATGTGAGAATAGCTGAGTTCGTTTTTGACTTGTGAGTTTAAATTGTAGGTTGAAGATCCTTTGATGGAATCTACGAAGTATTTGAAGCTGCTTCAAAAACATTCATCTGAGTCCATTCTCTGTGTAAATGAAAGGAAGCTTAGCTTTGCAGGTAAGTTTATAATTCTTGAGTTCACAACCAAAAATTCGTTCTGAGGATTTACAAGGAAGTTCTATATAATTTTCTGTCACATTTTCTTTCTCGGCAATGGATGACGAGGAATGCTTCGTGGATGTACTCATTTTTTTTGCTGATAAATTTTTGAATTAAAGTAGAAGATGAAGAGAATAAAATTTTCAAATAGGCAGAAGAGAGCAGACTATGGCAGAATAGAGGCAGCCTACTCATGTTGGTTAAAAGGAACCGTGCATTAAACTAATGCCGGTTTAGTAAAATATCATAGATCTCTTTCAAGGCGGGTTCACCAAAACCCACTATTTGACTGAACTGGCTCAAATTTTAATTCATTAAAAGCTACGAGCCATCCCACAACCTGTTTTTCATGCTACAAACTTCCTCTTTTTCCCCTTCTCCTATTTTAGATTTAATGATGTCGTGTGAAGACTGACGGTGTTGTAATTGAAAAGAATGCAATGCCCATTTTATTTGAGTTCATTTTCCCTGTAATGCAGAAATTAGCCAAACAAAATGCATGGAAATCCGTTGCACAGACACATACACGTTGGGGACACGTCCATTTAAATTCTTTAAAATTTGAAGTTCATATATTATATCTCTATTTTTATAATTTCTAATATAGGACACGGCATATGCCATTCCCATTTATTTTCTGTGATTAAGTAGTTAGATTTAATTTGATTTCTGTTTTTCTATTTCTTTTTGTGAATAATATGAAGAGTTTTCATTTGAAACAGATGGATTAAAGCAAAATTTTAAATTAAGCATTTTGATTGACAAATCTTGAAGAACAATCAATAACATAAGTTAAATTTTCTTGTTGATTATTGTTTTGGAGATTTAGGTAGATGACCAAAATATTT